AACGCCGCCTTTCCTTGTTGATCTTGTTTATCATATTTTTGGGATTTCTTTAGTAGATGTACAAAAAATGCCCTTCCATTTACCAAGAACCTGATAAAATCTTAAAGTTTGTTCTGGTGTTAGATTGGAAGAATCAACTGAAATGTCCTTGATTGGAGGTTCTGAAGGAACATCAGGAGAAATATAAGAAGAAATATCATCTATCACTTAAGCTTCTGTAATAAGTACAGATTTCTGACTTGGGTTTGATAGTCAATATTTTAGCAGTCATGTTACAAACCTTGACTGATATTTTTGCAGAAACAGCATTATGTGTTTTTGATCATTGATGCCAACACTATAAAGTGTTGAGAATTGCGTACCGCTCAAGCCGGTGCTAGGGGGCGTGTGGGATGTTGCACTTATACATTATCCCTCATGTACGGACTCAATCAAACCGAGTCTGCAATTCTTATGTTATTTTATTGTGATTGATGCTTCCGAGGGATCACTTTGTTTCCAGAATTTTGTACTTCACAACAGCAGATGTCAAGTGCCGTCTGGCAGCCGTAAAAGGTTGCCCCGTACTTCACTTCAGTGTTGTTATATTTTCTGGTCCTTCGGGATCATTGATGCCAACACTATAAAGTGTTGAGAATTGAGTACCGCTCAAGCCGGTGCTAAGGGGCGTGAGGGATGTTGCACTTATACATTATCCCTCATTTACAGACTCAATCAAACCGAGTCTGCAATTCTTATGTTATTTTGTTGTGATTGATGCTTCCGAGGGATCACTTTGTTTCCAGAATTTTGTACTTCACAACAGCAGGTGTCAAGTGCCGTGTGACAGCCGTAAAAAGTTGCCCCGTACTTCACTTCAGTGTTGTTATATTTTCTGGTCCTTCGGGATCATTTGTGCCAACACTATAAAGTGTTGAGAATTGAGTTTGATTGAGTCTGTACATGAGTGCAACATCCCTCACGCCCCCTAGCACCGGCTTGAGCGGTACTCAATTCTCAACACTTAATAGTGCTGGCATCAATGATCCCGAAGGTCCAGAAAATATAACAACACTGAAGTTAATAGAAGTCTCTTTTTCTACTTTCCTTATCTCTCGAACTAACACAGTGTAGTCATCAAGAGAGTCATATTTATGCCTAGTCTGAAATTTTAGCATATCAGAATATAAACCTGTCCAAAATTTATGACGCAAAATGTCATTCCTTGCTAAGCCTGGGAGTTGACCTTTGTCAATAATAGACTGTAAAAGGGTTCCTTACCTACATGCATATGTAGTTACCGACTCATTGGGATTTTGTCTACTATTAAAATATTGAGTCAACAAATCTTCCTTAGTTGAAGCCTCTGAAAACATAACATCAAGTTTCCCTAATATCACAAGCACAACAATAATGTCGTGCTGAACGATCTTCAAGGATCGAAAATATAACATCATTGATTAAATGTACGGGGAGACTTTTTACAGCCGCCACACGGCACAAATAACACGGATGTGATCATAAAATAGATAAATAACTTTACTGTTAAATGATATGTGTAAGTCTATCAAATGATAAAAAAATCGCAAAAATTTAATATAGAAAACAAGAAAACAAACAAACAAAAATATTTGTAGGAAATATCAAAAATTTACATGTACTGTACTGAAACGAATAATGCCTAACTGAAGATAGCCTAACTTTGACGTAAATAAACTGTACAGTACACAAGTAATAATACGGTTTCAAAATTTAACTACCGAAGTGACCAAAATAATTATATAGAAAGAGTACTTACATTACATCCTTAATCCAATAAAATATATACACTCTTCACTATAAAACACATGTATACATGTACAAATATACAAAATAAAGTTCACACACACACTAAAGTTCCTGCACGTGCATAGTTGAATATGTAGTCCTCCGCGATGAAAATAGTTCCACGGCGATCCTTTCTTGATTACATAGGGCTAGAAAACGTAAGTTTTCTACAGTTTATACAATTTTGGCCTTTATAAAATGGAATGTGATCATTATAATGGGTAAAGAGCTCTTTAAAAGGGGACAGGGGGAATATACCATTATGATGCGTAGAGTTGTACCGGTACGTGCCAACGTCACAACATCCGTCTCTCTCCAACTTGAAAAGCTGTTAAGTTTTCTCGGCTGGGGCGTACCTGGAGCGGTTGTGAAAGACTGTCCATCGACCCTAGCTCGTATTTATTTCATCGTCGGGGAGTCATTTGTAACCGGGGATAAATGATTGAAGACTTGCTTCTATTTCATCATTTTATTGTCGGACATACAAAAACGAGCCTACAAACAAAGTACAAAGGAATTACAAATAATTGATTTACAAAATAATAAAATTACACATTTCATTCAATTCATCAATGGAAAAGAATAAATATGACATTAGAAATATATAAATTCTTACCAGGATCAGCATACAAGAACTGTCCATAAATGATGTTCAAGTTTACTAATAAGTAACTACTACTATCAACAACTATACTGTAAAGTAAGTTATCAGTTACTCATATAATGTGGCACTGGCTTAGGGAAATATTTTACTTAAGCAAGAAAATATTTCGCGGGGATTTTAGGGTCATGCACGTGAAATATTAGTGAACACATTCATACAACCTTACAACTTACAGTGACCTCTTATACGAAACAGACTATACAAAACATTACCACAGTTAGGCAAACAAACGACGACACAACAGTTAGGCGAATACCAACCAAATACAACATAACACGGAGGATACAATATACCAGTGATAAACAGAAAACGATACACAGGTTACATTTATATTTTATTTATATCACCCTGCATGGGGCACATAACTCTCGATAACTCCAGCATGAGTGTAAGGGAGATAACATGATGTGTATTCTTATATAAATAACATGGCTGTCGGGGTTATAGAAGATATTGTTGTCAACCCGAGAACAGGTATATTACCCCGAGGCGTTATCTATCGTCAACATTGTTTATTTTGATGTACTGTTGACGTTTTTTGATTGACATAATCATATCGACATTAGCATTTTGAAGACTTAGATTAGGACAGCTGTATAGTAATAATTATATATGAAATAATATCGGTCGGTGCGAATTTATATATGTCTGCAGTTCAGGTTTAACTGTAAAAGAGTTGCGTATCCAATAAAAATTCGGTGTTAAATAACCAATAAACACCGAACAGACCGATATTATTTCGATTCTCACAAGACAAGACAAAACAAAGGAGATCGCTAATGCTATGTGAAAAAGAGATTATTTTCGCTGCCGATTTTCGTTATAGACTGTTCTGTTTCACAACTAACTCACCGTGTTTATCCAGTAACGCTGGACTGTGAAAATAACGCACGATTCGTGCAATAAGTAAGGCAGAATTGTGCAATAAATGGCGGATGTCTGACAGGATTTCCAACGCGGTAAGTAAACTGGCCAATATGTTTTTTTATTTAACCGAACTGTAAAAAGAAAAGCCGCATACGGCTGCGAAGACATTATTCCTTATCCCTCATCAAGATTATTTCAACGAAATTGCTAACTTTTCAAGATCATTCGTAAAAATGATTGCTTTACCACCGTTTTGAGTGAGATTTTGGCTTTTTGTCGACTCTTATAAGTACAACAATGCATATTTTACATTATAATTTCGATTTTCTGTAGGCAAGTGCCATTTACTAAACTTCTGTTGACACAAAAAATTGAAAATAAGATGATAAATGTGATTCAAGCCGTTTAAGGTAACGCCGATGTCTTATCACAGGTAAAAAAAATATAATCATATATCAATTGATCTATAAACATCTGATAGATAAACCTGGTCCAGAAATACACTGATATGTTCCTTTGATTTTTTTAAACGTATTGATCTTCTGTGACGCTAGAGATGACTCGTTTTGTATTAAATTATTGAAATATATGATAAACAAAATCATCAAGGAAAGGCCCCCACCCGACCCAGTAACAAGAGCCAGTGGCAAGGAGCCCAGGAGGATCCCAAGTAACGTTTAATTAGATACAGACCTCAGATACTGTATTATAATGTCCACTGTACTACATTTTATTGTATGTATTTATATAAGAATTATCATCATTTACTTTTTCCCATAATGTCAACTAAACTATAACGGGTCAGATAATGTCAATTTCTAAACATGTATATTCATATAATGAAATAGAATTAGCTTTGAATTATATCAATATTAAGTCATCCTTTCTTTTTCTGAAAATGATTGTGCTTGACATTTGTCACTTAAAAGTTTCATTACATAGTTTAAATTTGTGTTTTGGACTGAAGGTCTAATTACCTTTAAAAATTATCTAGCTTAACAGTATAAGCTTCATAACAGCCGATTATCCATTTGCATAACAATGACTCAAACTGCGTACTACGTACTTGACCCTATTATGTTTCTTACAAACACGTGAATATGTGAATTGTGACTGCGTAAAAGCTCAAAATTCAAAGACCCGAATAATCATTACCTGAAGTTCTTTAATCTGAAATGCTTATGAGGCTGTGTTGTTTATATATTAGGTAGAGAGACAGTTTATACACATCTTAACAAAGAATCTGGCAAAAGTTAACAATTGTTATACATGTAAGATCATTTCTTTTACATAATTCCTTATGCCAATTTTGTATATCATAAAGTTTGGAGAATATTTTAAATATACAATACTGATGATAACTTGTATCATATCAATTCTATCAGGCTAATGATTGTTTAAAAAGCAATACAGCTTCGACTATCTTTTATATTGTAAACGTTTGCAAACACTTTATATGAGAAATATGAATAGTCATTTCAAAATGCGGTTTATTCTTTTTTGGACAATCTATCGCAAACATGATAAAATCTTAAATTATTTAAATCATAAGACAACATAAAATAAAAGGTCATAAATGTCATCAGGCGATTAATTTACATATGTCATATTTTCTCTTATGATTTTTAGTCAATGATGTCCTATTGAGAGTTAAGTAACTTACCACCGGACCTCCAAGTATACTGCTCTGAAATGAAAACAAAATTAGAATCATATATATATTATTACTTAACAAACCCAGATTCATATAACTATAGCATAGGATTTTCAAATCTGTACAATGATTTTATCGGAACGTTACAGACAAAAATGTAAACATCTTTTTGAAACTATAAATATATTGTAGAAGGAAACTGACAGAATAAGCATATATTGTTTAAAGAATTATTATTTTACGATAGAGGTTTATAGCGAATTAGAAAACAATCATATCATAGTACATGCTTCTATTTATTAGGCTATTTAAACACTTTTTAAAAACGTTTTAATGTATTTTTATATGTAATATGTAACCATTCTTTGACTATTGTATTATTTGCCTTTGTTCAACATTTTTGTCGCAATAGAAAACACTACTAGAACTATATATTGATACCGAAACTTTTATTTTACTTTAAAATGTATTTGTTATATGTAAAATGTAACCATTCTTTGACTATTCTATTATTTGCCTTCCTTCAACATGTTTTGTCTCAAGGGAAAACACCATTCAAGATCAATGAAAGCCAACTATATATTGATACAGAACGCTTAAAACGATATCAAGTATGCTTAGGCATAAAAAAACTTGTTTTCGTTTTAAATTATGTCTTGGATTCCCTGCCTTTTTGTAATCATGTCTCCCAAAAATTTTGGGAGACATATTGTTTTTGCCTTCGCCGTCTGTCCGTCCGTCCGTAAACATTGAGCTTGTCTAGCTTTCACAGGGATTTCAACCAAACTTTACAGGAGTGATCAGTTGTGCACTAGGCCAACAGAGCTAAAAATAAAAAAAATCGTATCCGGCCTTCACAGGTCGAACTAATGGTGGGATGTCACCAAAACTTTGCAGGAGTGATCAGTGCCATCTCAGTTGTACATATCGCCAGCACGTTCCATTTTACTGCACGAAATGACCGCTAGAGCTATAAATAGAAAAGTATTGCCCGGCATTCAAACTATTGGTGGGATTTCAACCAAACTTAATAGGTGTGATCAGTACCATCCTTAGTTGCGCACATCGCCGGCAAGTTCTGCTTCCCTGCACAAAATGACCGCCAAAACTAGAAATAGAAAACTCTTGTCCGCCCTTCACAGGCCAAACTACTGGTGGATTTTCAACCAAACTTTAGAAGAGTGATCAGTACCATCCCTAGTTGTACACATCGCCAGCATGTTTTATTTCGCTGCACAAAATAGCCGCCAGAGCTAAAAATAGAAAAATATTTTCCGGCTTTCTCATCTCAAACTAATGGTGGGATTTCAACAGAACTTCACAGGAATGATCAGTACCATTCCTAGTTGTGCATATCGCCAGCACGTTTGACCTCGCTGCACAAAATGGCCGCCAGAGCCGTGAATAGAAAAATCGCTTTCGGCTTTCACAAATAGAACTGCTAGTTGGATTTATTGAAACTTCAAATGAGTGAACAGTACCATCCCTAGTTGTGCATATCCCCGACATGTTCCACTTCGCTTCACTTAATGACCCAAGAGCTATAAATAGAAAAACCTTGTCCAGCTTACACAAGTCAATTGCAAGCTGCTGGTGGCATTTCAATGAAAACTGCACATGAGTGTTCAACACAATCCCTAGTTGTGCATATCACGGCATGTTCCCCTTTGCTGAACATAATGGCTGCCTTAGCTATAAAAAGAAAAAGTCCTGCCCGACTTGACAAAATGGCTGTCAGAGCTTAAAATAGAAAAATCTTGTCCGGCTTTCACAGATATGATTGTTAGACGGAATAATTTAATGATGATCGGCTTTAATATGTTACTTTAAATCGTTAATCGTTATTAGTAGTTTTTATAACGTATAGTAGTATCGAAGAGCAATAATTGGTTTTAACTATAAGTGTTGGCATTTCAAATTGTCATCTTCACTTACAAACTTAAAAATCGTTTGCTATCTTGACATATAATTGACAAGTAGTTGCGAGATATATATTTGAAATTACGTTTGTTGAAATCAAATGGGTCCGTTTTGTCACGAGTTCTGAATCTGACGCAATAAATACATAATTAAAGCTAGGAGCATTGTAAATAATAACTCTATGATGTGTATAATAACATGTTTGCATTTCAAGGTCATTCAAATTTTTATGCATACACTTTTGTTATACACTCATCTTTGTTCCGTTATTCACGTGAACGAAAATTGTCAGACATTGCTTCATGATTTATAGTCATAACAATTTAAACTTCATACTTCCAAGGCCACATTCCATACTTCAAACTTCACAAATCATATGTAATACGTTCAAATTCATACTACAAGCTTACTTTTTCACACTTCATATTTCAGACTTCCAACGTCACACCGGAACTCAACATTTCACACTTTAGAATCAAACTTTATGCTTCTTACTTCCTACTTGAAACTTCAAATAAAATAATTACATTTTTAAATTAAAACTGGAGTTGATTTCTATATTCAAACTTACACTTGAAACTTTCTAATTCAGTTTCAAACTTAATTTTCAAGATTTTAAACTTCAGATCTTAAACCGCAAACTTAGTTCACCTTTTAAATCTATAGCTCTATTTACAAAAATGAAATTCGCCGTGTCAGAATCTAGATCAACTCATATCAAATAGAGAAAAAAAGAATCCCTAAAGAAAGCCCAAAACGACATAATTGAAAATGTTGCAGGCTCGGTTTGATTGGACGGTACTGTAGAGTGCAAACAACCGTCCATGACCCCTAGCACCGGCTTAAGCAGAATATGAAATGGTAAAACAGATGTGTTCATACGGCGGTTATCATGGAACCTTCAATGTGACACTTGCGTGCCATTTCATGAAAGCGGCTTATGGTCCGACTGTAATAGAAAGCATGTGCCCTAAACGAGAAAACAATGTGCGGAACTAAATAAAATGGAATTTTGAAATGGGGTCAGAGGTTATGAAGCCTGCATATCACAGATAAGACGTCAAAAGACAAAGTTAAAAAGCAGACAACATATCCTAAGGGTGAGTCAACATTATTCAAGAAGGAATATTGGAACCACCCAACTAGAAAATGCCGCAAAGTTGAAAAAAAACTAAAAATTACCACAATAATTTCAACAATAATGTCGTGCTGAACGATCTTTAATAATCGGAAATATAACATCTTTGAAGTTCAATTTTACTTTTGAAACGCTGCAAATAGTTAAAAATGTTATAGTTTCAGCTTTCAATACAAGAGGGTCATGACGGCACTGATATCGCTAACTTGGTTATAAAGGATATTAATGACAAGCCTCATTAAATATTGCTAACTATGAACTAAAAGTTGATATAAGGACTCAGTCTTAAACTGATATCTAAAATTTATATCTATCAGTATTCATTACTGGAATTGTTTAAGAGAAGATATGTCTAAGTGTTTACTATGTATACAGTTCAATGATCCCGCCACTCTACCGGTGTGGGGCCAATTTAGACCAAAGATCTATAATTTGAACACACGTGGTAAAAGTCCTTTTACGTTTTGACAAGATAGATATAATGAAAATCTATGACCCTCGAGAGGGAAACCCAAGGAATATTATCAAACTTAACAGAGGTTCACTTTACATTGTTTCATACCAAATGTCATTCGTAAGTGTTAGTCTTTTTATTATATACATATATAAGTCCATGACACCCCTGGGTTCACCGTCAAATTAGATCCCAATTAAGACATTCACGTCAATTTGAGTTGTCTTGGTAGATGTCCTCTAAATGTTTCATGTACAATATTTAAGCTTTAACATACATTGTATATTGATTTGGAGAATAGGATTTGTTTCAGCTTTTAATAAGATATAGGCCTTACATACGCGTAGTCAATCGCCAAATTCGAAGTAGACGTTAACAAATATTCACGGTCGTTTCATAATTGTTTTTTTTTCCTTCAATTTGTTAAGGTTTATAAGAATATGTAAATCAATGATATTTTTGAAATCATTAACCGAAAACACAATTTTGTATTTTAGCAACAATGACCATGACCACAGTAAGCTCAAATCATTTTAAAGTCCTGATATAACCTTGCTAGACACCAAATTCCCAAGAATTTTCTCATCTTATTCCAAACTATTGTTGTTGACTGGATCCAAATTTTCTATATTCAAGTACAACGATCTTGACCCGACATGACCGAAAATGAATCCAAATGTGACCTTGACGCAAGGGTGAAAGAAAGGAATCCCAAGAGTGGTATTTACAAAGTCTTGCTATACACCAATATTTATTGAAATATCTCATCCCAAACTCTACTGACTGGAAACCTATTTCCTATATTTAGTAACAGTGACCTTGACCTTATTCCTTAGTGACCCATAAGCAATTTCAAACGAGGTCTTCTCATAAGTGTGTACTATATACCATGCGCCAGGTTGAATCTTTGACTATGGAGAGATGTAAGGCTGAATGGATCTGTTCGATTAATTGTACATGTACATAGAACCGGCAGGTAGGGGTCTAAATAAACTGAGAACTTATAGAACTTTTAAGCAGGAACATTTTTCAGAAGAGTACTGTAAAATGATCTTGTTCTCTAGGCATAGGTCAGCGTTTTATAAATTTAGGTGTGAGGAGCCCCTATTCGTATCGAAACGGGTATGAGATTAGATGAACGCCACTGTCCTTTTTGTAATGTACTTGAGAATGAAATGACTGCCCAGTATACGATGATTTTAGATCAGAATTACTCTCTAAGGCTGTGTTGAACGAACCTTCCTCAAAGATAACAAACTTGTATTTTTGTTCTCTAGTCAACCATTAGTCAGAAAATGTGCCAAAAGGTTTTAATATTCTTCAACGTCGTCAATCTTACTTATGTATATAATATTTTGATATAGTACATGCTACTATACTCTTTATTTTTAATAAGAGATGCTTATTTATGGGAAATCAGTGTTTGTTTTTTGTTTGTTTTTTCTTAAATTGTCCTTTATTTGTATAGTAATGTTTTGTTTTCTTTTTCTATGTTTTCTATGATGTTTGTTTTTACTTATTCTAATTTTTTTTTATTTGAAAGTCAATTTACTAAAAAACGGCAGTTTTTTAATCATATAAATAGATACATGTATATTTCTTTTCATTGATTTATAGTATCTGTACTGTGTAGTTAGTTATTATTTATAATTGGATATAATTTTATAATAAGTATGATATTTTATGGTGTTATTATGTTTTACTAGTGTCTTGTAATTCAATGATTGAATGGTTATGAATATTTTGTGTTTTATGTCTGCTTATGAATTTTACTTGTTGTACATGAATGAGACCTAAATAAATAAATAAATAATAAGGCCTTATACATAAATGAAAGTCCATGACACCCCTGGGTTCACCGCCAATTTAGATCCCAATTAAGACATTTACGTCAATTTGAGTTGTCCTGGTAGATGTCCTCTAAATGTTTCATGTACAATATTTAAGCTTTAACATACATTGTATATTGATTTGGAGAATAGGATTTGTTTCAGCTTTTAATAAGATATAGGCCTTACATACGCGTAGTCAATCGCCAAATTCAAAGTGTTTATGAGAATAAGTAAATCAATGATATTTTTGAAAATAAACCCTCTGTATTTCCAAAACTTTATGACACTCTTATAAGTTAACGATGGAAAAGTAAGTTTAATTTTTTCTAGCTTCTACAATTTTCCTTTTGTATTTTCAACATGAATTTTAAACAAAACAAGAAGGTCATGCTGGCCCTTAGTCGCTCACCTGAGAAGAGGGTTAAAATTGACAAAATTGAAATTTTGTATAAAAAAATTATTTTAAGCTGTAACGGTGATTTTTGTCAGCAGAACGTAACCATTTGTGTAAATTTTAAAGACGGCCACCAATCAACCATTTATGTATAGTTTCATCAAAATCGACCCGATAGTTAAGGAGTAGATGTTGTTTAAAAAAAATCTATTTCGAGCCCTGGCAGTCATTTTGTCCAGCAGACCGGAACAACTGGAGCAAATATTTAAGAAAACTATCCAATGATCATTCCCTGAATCATTAACCGAAAACACAATTTTATATTTTAGCACCACAGTAAGCTCAAATCATTTTAAAGTCCTGATATAACCTTGCTAGACACCAAGTTCCCAAGAATTATCTCATCTCATTCCAAACTATTGTTGTTGACTGGATCCAAATATTCTATATTCAAGTACAACGATCTTGACCTGACACGACCGAAAATGAATCCAATTGTGACCTTGACGCAAGGGTGACCGAAAGGAATCCCAAGAGTGGTATTTACAAAATCTTGCTATACACCAATATTTATTGGAATATCTCATTCCAAACTCTACTGACTGGAAACCTAATTCCTACATTTAGTAACAGTGACCTTGACCTTATTCCTAAGTGACCCATAAGCAATTTCAAACGAGGTCTTCTCATAAGTGTACTATATACCATGCGCCAGGTTGAATCTTTGACTATGGAGAGATGTAAGGCTGAATGGATCTGTCCGATTAATTGTACATAGGGTTCGGCAGGTAGGGGTCTAAATAAACTGAGAACTTATAGAACTTTTAAGCAAGAACATTTTTCAGAGGAGTACTGTAAGAAGATCTTGTTCTCTAGGCATAGGTCAGCGTTTTGTAAATTTAGGTGTGAGGAGCCCCTATTCGTATCGAAACGGGTATGAGATTAGATGAACGCCACTGTCCTTTTTTTAATGTACTTGAGAATGAAAAGCATGTTATTCTAGACTGCCCAGTATACGATGATTTTAGATCAGAATTACTCTCTAAGGCTGTTTTGAACGAACCTTCCTCAAAGATAACAAACTTGTATTTGTGTTCCTAGTCAACCATTAGTCAGAAAATGTGCCAAAAGGTTTTAATATTCTTCAACGTCGTCAATCTTACTTATGTATATAATAATTTGATATAGTACATGCTACTATACTTTTTATTTTTAATATGATATGCTTATTTATGGGAAATCAGTGTTTGTTTTTTGTTTGTTTTTTTCTTAAATTGTCCTTTATTTGTATAGTAATGTTTTGTTTTCTTTTTCTATGTTTTCTATGATGTTTGTTTTTACTTATTCTAATTTTTTTTTATTTGAAACTCAATTTACTAAAAAAACCGGCAGTTTTTAATCATATAAATAGATACATGTATATTTCTTTTCATTGATTTATAGTATCTGTACTGTGTAGTTAGTTATTATTTATAATTGGATATAATTTTATAATAAGTATGATATTTTATGGTGTTATTATGTTTTACTAGTGTCTTGTAATTCAATGATTGAATGGTCATGAATATTTTGTGTTTTATGTCTGCTTATGAATTTTACTTGTTGTACATGAATGAGACTTAAATAAATAATACTAGGTTTTATTGCACTTTCTCTTACAGGCCTAAATGCATTCCCAAATGAGATCTTCACATAAGCTTCAAATATACTAATTTTAATTGAACTTTTAAATTTCAAAAGCTAGTTTGAAACCGATTTTCTGATTATAATAACAGTTTGAGCCAATTGGCAAAAACAATCTAAAGCGAGGTCTTCACATGAGCTGACTGTACACAAAAATTCTTTTAATAACTCCATCCACTTTTTGACCGGAAACTGATTTTCTATTTAATAACATTGATATACTGTTGATTGTTTCTCTCTTTCTCAACTTTCTATCTTGTTTTTGTTATGATGATCATCGTTTTGTATGAAATATAGTTTTAACAAAAAGATTAATGTTTATTTTAATGAAAATTTTATTTCAAATTAATTAAGTCATCTGTCAAAACAAAAATATTTCATCATCAGTAGTCGGGGTTGTATTTGATATTTGTTAACTACAAAGTAACAGAGAAAATGAGATTATAGATTTTTTATTGAAATGTTAGTATGTTAGCAATGAAAACAAAATCTTAAAGGAAATAACGCTTGAATGTTACATAGCCATAAACAGTGCACAAACTTTTTATTTACATAAATAAGATGTAAAAGTATAAACAAAGAGATATTAGGTAAAAAACAAAATCCTGTGTCATTCTCTTCTTGTTTAAATGTATACGATAATTATTCTAACAACAATTTTTGAAGGTATTAGAGTTGTTTTTTGTTTTGTTTTGTTTTTTAAAAAAAGTGTAAAAAAATATCCTTACCGCCTGCGAGTTGCCTGAATCCCCGTCATCATTTCTATCTTGATCCTGAAAGATGAAGTCCGTATTAAATTACTTAGTTTTCAAAATTAATTTTCAAGATTTGAAACTTCAGATTTTAAACCGTAAATTTAGTTCACCTTTTAAAACTATAGCTCTTTTTACAAAAATGAAATTCGCCGTGTCAGAATCTAGATCAACTCATATCAAATAGAGAAAAAATAATCCCTAAAGAAAGCCCAAAACGACATAATTGAAAATGTTGCAGGCTCGGTTTGATTGGACGGTACTGTAGAGTGCAAACAACCGTCCATGACCCCTAGCACCGGCTTAAGCAGATTATGAAATGGTAAAATTTTGAATTTAGAAACATCCGCAGATATGTTCATACGGCGGTTATCATGGAACCTTCAATGTGACACTTGCGTGCCATTTCATGAAAGCGGTGTATGGTCCGACTGTAATAGAAAGCATGTGCCCTAAACGAGAAAACAATGTGCGGAAATAAATAAAATGGAATTTTGAAATGGGATCAGAGGTTATGAAGCCTGCATATCACAGATAAGACGTCAAAAGACAAAGTTAAAAAAGCAGACAACATATCCTAAGGGTGAGTCAACATTATTCAAGAAGGAATATTGGAGCCACACAACTAGAAAATGCCGCAAAGTTAAAAAAAAAACTAAAAGGTAAAACTAAAAATTACCACAATAATTTCAACAATAATGTCGTGCTGAACGATCTTTAATAATCGGAAATATAACATCTTTGAAGTTCAATTTTACTTTTGAAACGCTACAAATAGTTAAAAATGTTATAGTTTCAGCTTTCAATACAAGAGGGTCATGACGGCACTGATATCGCTTACTTGGTAATAAAGGCTATTAATGACAAGCCTCATTAAATATTGCTATGAACTAAAAGTTGATATAAGGACTCAGTCTTAAACTGATATCTAAAATTTATATCTATCAGTATTCATTACTGGAATTGTTTCAGAGATGATATGTCTAAGTGTTTACTATGTATACAGTTCAATGATCCCGCCACTCTACCGGTGTGGGGCCAATTTAGACCAAAGATCTATAATTTGAACACACGTGGTAGATATAATGAAAATCAATGACCCTCGAGAGGGAATATGATCAAACTTAACAGAGGTTCACTTTACATTGTTTCATACCAAATGTCATTCCTAAGTGGTAGTCTTTTTATTATATACTTATAAATAATATAAATATATATAAAATAATATATATGATATAATATATAAATATAAATAAAAATATCCTTACCGTCCGCGAGTTGCCTGAATCCCCGTCATAATTTCTATCTTGATCCTGAAAGATGAAGTCCGTATTAAATTACTTAGTTGCAGTACATAGAAACTGTAGCTCTTTACTTACTGATTTCAGTAAGTTCCCTTTGCCATGTTTTCATATTATTTTTATAAATCTTTCAGTATTTTTATTGCAAAATGTTTGATGTCATTCAATCCCATGTCACTCTAAGCCGTTTGTAAGGGGCTGTATAAAATTCAAAAAGCGCTGTCCAAACGCATGGAAAATCTGATAACGTTTTCGCGGAGTCGTGAATAATAGGTATATGTCCATTGGCAGAGAAACTATAAGGAGAGATATGTAGACCTAGGACTACTGCTATCAACATGATTATCAGATAGCGACAATATTATGCGGCAAAAGTGTGAAATAAAATTAAAACAACAGTTAATGATAAATAATAATAAAAAAAAAAATTTAAAAAAGAAACAAAAATCCGGTCGCATTTATTTATATGAAGTAAAGAAATATCGCATGAAGCAAGTATTCTTATCATGTTTCAAATAATCCATCAATAAGTATTATGTTGAAAATAAATGTGACTATGAACGTTACAAAGATAATTTAACGTTGTTGTTTTTGTTGTTGATAAGGGTCGTGACATGACATACTGTCATGGTACAAAATATTTGCCGCCTCTAACAATTTAAAGCCACGTACTTACAGTGCATAATCAAATAGAGAATAAACGACGAAAAATAATGATACGTCACAAAACAACAAGCGAGGTTTTACGCACGCGTAACATGGCTGCGAAGGAATGGTCAGCGGTGCACTGCATACTTTTAGAATAACCAAAAACTACTGCGTATACATATAGACGAATGTCTGTTTAGATCTACGAAGTTGTTGATATTAAAGGGGAAGCATAACGACACGAAAATTTCATTACAACGTACCAGTAGTACGTTTTGTGCTGAAACATGACGTGTTCTCATTAGTCAATGTCGTATTGTGCCAGGAATCCGACACCATGTATCTTATTTATATATAGACAGAGCTGACACGCTCGTAATGGTTTATCCTAATGCCTTGGACATTATCAATTTTATCCCAATTAAACGATATCTCAACTTTTAATAAGCAAATGACCAACAATAAAAATTCAAATTTGAGCATTTTAAACATATAGTATACATGTACATGTATATACGTCATTAAAGGCATCAGACCCGTTACCAAATCTACGCATGATTTTATTTTAGCCTGGTTCCACAATATTAAATCTCGGTAAACAACAGACAGTTGCACAGTCCATTATTTGTATACGGAGATAAGAGAACATTGTCTTTCCATTTGAGGTAAATGTAAATAAAAAATGTTTTGCAACAAAGCAAGAAATCTTACATTGGTCCTGAAGTGTAAATCTGATGAATGTAAATGTTTTAATTTACTTTTGTCGTATCATTCATTTACCAGTCTTGCAGTATCTTTTCTGTAAGGCCGATATGTTTATGTTATTACCATTACAAAGGAATTAGATATGCATCAATTATATTCTATGTTTCTTGTCTTAAAATGTGGCAAGACTCGTGAATATATCCAGTACATGTATATATTTAACCTATTATTTGATAAAAATAATTATACAATTTCACATAGGTTTAAAACTTTAAACATTCATCAAATATATGTTTTGGATTACATCTATATCAACTGATACTATACATAAACACAATATTAATGTATTTATACTTGAAGAGTTTGTCGTTATGACCTTCAGCAGAAATAAAAACCGCAGAATATTTCTCCATGTTATGTGTTTGAACCTGTTCCGGTATGTGTCCTACATTATCGTTGCACCGGTTAGATGGCGGTTGGTTGAAAAACGTGGTTAGGAAAAATGACTATTGTAGTGTTTTCTAGTCATTACAAAGAACATTTAGATGTTTGACTTGACGAATAATCGTTACGTATGTCGGAAAGCAATAAGAAAAAGCGTCGAAGGTGTCGTAATAAGGGATCAACGGGTAGCGAAACAGAAGATACGTCGGTAAAAATTGCCACCGGTGTTGAGGTAAAAAATGCCAGCACAATTATATCTCCATTGCTTACGAAGAAAAGTCAACAAACTAGTCATAATGAAACTTGTGTACCAGCAAGCTTGTCTGGGACTGTAACTTCAACAAAAATTACAACTGAAAGTATGCTGTCTGACAAGTATGATGTCTGATAAATATGACTCGATAATTTGTTCCTCAAAAGATAACAATGAGGCAATAGAGGCTATACAGGGTGAGCTAAAAAAAAGTAAATGACATAAATAAAATATCGAAGAAGAAAATCAGATCTACAAAATTACATTAGAGATCTGCGTTGTAGTTCCATGAGGAACAATATTGTGATTCTAGGTATATCGGAGCACCCAAAATACATACATGATAGTCCTGATTCAGTCTATTCTATGACAACAATTTCTGACAGTAACAACATGCAATTGGATGCATCCCCCAATGACGATGACCATACATATATAACTGAGGGACATAGTGCACACGCAGCTGACAGTGGCCATTTATTAGGTTCTACAAATCAACAGAGAAGGGTTCATACGCGAGTGCTGCAGCACCTGAAAACTGTATTGCTAAAGTTTACCAATTTTGTGAACAAATTCTCAACATTAAGAATGCAAATAGAGTGAAATAAGAATCCCTAAAGAAAGCCCAACGCGACAAAATTGAAAATGTTGCAGGCTCGGTTTGATTGAGCCTGTTCATGGACGGTACTGTCAAGTGCAAACTACCGTCCACGCGCCCAAGCACCGGCTTAAGCAGCATGAACTGGTAAATTTTGAATTTTGAAACATCCGCAGATGTGTTCATATGGTGGTTATCATGGAACCTTCAATGTGACACGTTAGTGCCATTCCATTAAAAGCGGCATATGGTCCCCAAGTAAAAACAATGCGTGTGCCCTAAACGAGAAAACAATGGGCGGAACTAAACATATCCTAAGGGTGAATATACAGTATTCAAGTAGGAATAATGGAACCACCCAAGTTGAAAAAGGCCAAATAGAAGAAACTAAAAGTACCACATAACATGTATACACATCAATTATGTCGTGCAGAACGATCTTCAAGGATCGAAAATATAACATCATTGATTAAATGTACGGGGAGACTTTTTAAATTTTTGAAATTAATTTTGAATGTTAAGTACCAAACAACGAATGCAGCTGTCTATGGTGAGCTTGGTAAAGCGCCTCTTGATATCTTAAGAAATGAAAGAATTCTTAAGTATTGGTGTAAGATTGTTTGGTCTCCGGATACATTAATTCATAAATGTTTTATGTATGATAAGCTTAATCTGGTGAAAGATTAATAGGCCCTAAGGGTTAAATCACTGTTAGATGATTTGGGTTTCAGTTATTTATGGAATAATGTGTCTGTAACTGACCTTCAATTAAGTAAAGTAATAGAATGCCTTTACAGTCAATTTTTGTAAGATTTTTTTTTGGCACTTAAGACACTATGCCTAGACTTCTTCCATATAAAGTTAGAAAAAGAAGTTTTGATATTGAAAAAACATTTGTTATGTGTTAAGGTGAATATGCATAGAATAGCATTAACTAGACTGCGGTGCTCTATTCAAAAACTTGCAATCGGAGAGGGTCTTTATCGAAACATTGATAGGGCGGATAGGAAATGTATCTTTTGTAACATAAATTTCATAGAAGACGAGTATTATTTTGTACTTGTTTGTCCGTTGCATCGTACTATAAGAGATCAATGTGACCCAAAATATCATTGCCATTGGCCAACTACTCAGAAATTTCAAACACTGTTAACTTGCAGTCAATCTGGTTTGTTATGTAAGCTTGCTAAATATGTCGTCTTCTTGGCTGATAATAAACGTACTAGTCTTATTGCTCAGTAGTAATGGCATAGATGTAAGAAACATTGTTGATGCAGTCAGAAAGTAATGCTGCAGTATTTTTTGTTGCATACATACAATTGTTACTACAATTCTTTTTAAGATAAGCACATACGTATAAGGTAGGTCACTCCAACAATATGATGCATAAATGTAATAAAGAAACCAGAATGTCACCCTTCGTTTTAGACTTTGTTCTATATGTACATGTAATTGTGATCAATAAGTAAATCGTTCTTATTTTTTCTGATACCATACAGTAACTTTGCTGAAGAAGCATAGCTTTAACTTATTATATAAACCAGTATTTGAATACAACGGCTTATGTAGGTGGCTGAAATGATAATTTTAAAGTAACCAAGTTAAATTAATATCCAAATGTGCATACATAATTTACAGGTTTAATATCCTTTACTGACCTATCTGGAGCCGGTGTGTACAGATATTAGTAGACATACTTAATTGTTCATAGTGTCATGTGAATTGATTATGTATGTTTATATATAACCATGCTCTTCTCAAATATTGTAACCGCCGTCATCATGTTAAAGGCGACGAACATGTAATGTTCAATGCTGAATAAAGAATTGAAATGTGTTCAATGCTGAATAAAGAATTGAAATGAATTGATTATTATCTGTTTCGTCTAAATTAATAACGACCAGCGGATTATAACGGTTGGCGGGTCATCGAGTTTGATAAAAAATGATGTCGACTAAACCATTTAACCCTTACACTGCTAAATAATCGTCGTATACTTTAATTGTTGTCTGATTGATGTTTAATTTGTATCAATTATCTTAAATTGATGATACTACGGGGTATATTTTTCACACGTCATTTCACCGTTGATCAATATATGCATACTTTTCTATTGTTGCGCAATATATTTGTTTGCAGAAAACAATAAATTTGTTTGTAATTACTGTACAGTTTGTAGGTGATGACGATAAACAAATGCGAATGTGTACATGCAAATTATTTGTAGAGTAATGTGACTAAGACTGTGATAAGATGAGCCTTAGAATTTAAAACACGTTTTGTCCAAAGAATGTGCCGCGGAAATAAAGTCCGCAGAAAATAAAAACATGCCAAAATTTGGAAAAACCGCAGAATTTGGAGCCC